CGAATCTAGGGGGGAGGGGAGAAAGGAGAGGGCTGGGGCGGATGAGGCTGGGGGATTAAGGCCAGGTGGACTGCGGCCAAGGGGGACACGAGGCCAGAGGGGGCTGGCAGGTCACAGGTGAGGGAGACCAGGATGGGGAGGAAGGAGCCACACCCACCACGTTTGTGAGCTGGGAGGACACAGTGGGTGGGGGGTCTCCAGGACGGGAAGGGTGGCCATCACCCAAGCGGGGAGGGTGCTCGGGGCTGGGGAGGGTGCAGAGAAGCAGAGGGGCCTGGGCCAGCGAGGCCCACCGCCCAAAATGAAGCCCGCGCCGGCCCTGGTCAGTGTGTGCCAGAGGGACCGTGAGGGGCTCTGACACCGTGGAGCCTGCATCCCGGGCCGGCGGGCTCACCTGTACTGGAGCCCTCGCCCCGGGCCGGCGGGCTCACCTGTACTGGAGCCTGCGGGGGTTCCGTCTCCTGTCGCGGCTGTTGTGGTAGTGCGGGCACGCGTAGCCCTGGCGGCAGAGGCGCGGTGGCTTCGGGCACTGCTCTGTCTTGTAGCTGCCCAACACGAAGTTGGTGTCTGGAAAAGAGGCGAATCCACAGAGCTCGTGCGTGACGATCACAGCAGCACTATCCACGCGACCGTCAGAAGCCGAAACCGCCCAGGCATCCATCAGCAGATGACGGACAGGCACAGCGTGCCCATCCGTACACCACGATACTCGGCCACGAAAAGGAACCAAGTCCTGGTGCATGCCACGACATGAGTGAACCTTCAAGACGCCATGCTGAGTGGAAGAAGCCCATGGAAAAAGGACAAGTGCTGTGTGGCCTCACGTGAAATGGCCAGAAGAGGCAAATCCAGAGGCAGAAAGCAGGCTAGAGGCTACCAGGGCTGGGAGCGGGCAGTGACTGCTTAAGGGGTATGGGGTTTTCTTTTGCAGGGAAGAAAATGTTCTGGAGCTACACACAGGTGGTAGCCTGCACCACATCGTGAGTGTACCAAACACCACTGAATCGTGCACTTTAGTGGTTAATCTGATGTGATGGAAGTTTCACCTCAAAACCACCACCACCACCCATAAACCAGTTGCCTCTGAGTCGATTCCAACCCATGGCGACCACGTGTGTGTCAAAGTAAAACTGCTCCATAGGGTTTTCTTGGCTGCAATCTCAATGGAAGCAGATTGCCAGGCCTTTCTTCCATGGTGCTGCTGGGTGGGTTCGAACAGCCGAGCTTTTGGTTAGTAGTTGAGCACAAATCGTTTGCACCCCCCAGGGACCTACAACAACCGGGGGTATTTAAAGGCGGTAACCAGTGGGGGGAGATTCCTTTCTTGGGCTGGATAATAACATGCATCTTATTTACACCTGTGGGGCTGAGTGTCCAGGGTATGAAGGACAAGGTGAAGGCCGGGAGGAAGGGCAGGGGAGTCAGCACCCCAGAGTCCCGGGAGCCACCACAGCTTTGCACACTGGCGTTTGGGGGAAGAGAACAAGCACTGTCAACACAAAAGACACACGGCCAAGTTCAAATGTCAGATGTGGATACCGTCCGCCCACGGCACACTTCATTCACTTATAAAATGACAAGCGATGTCAACCCCGCAGCAGGCGTGCGGAGCGCCAAGGGGCTTAGGGGACCAGAGAGCTGATTTTAAGAAAACAGAAGTCGTAAAGCGTCCGCAAGCGTCAACCGAGCGCCTCACACAGACCAAAGTCCCACATGAAACACAGGGGCCAGTGACTCAGACACAACCGCGATGCGGAGGGGGTGGCAGCCGCTTCGGCCGAGGGACAAACACCGGGAAACAAACGCCACGGCCGACCGTCTGGGAAGAGAATGCAGATGCACGACCATGGCCGCTACAGCAGGAGGACAGGGCATCCCAACACGGGCAGGCACGAAAGCTCATCGCAAACCAGGCACAGAGGTTCCACTGCCAAGGTCAAAAGCCCCCCAAAACCATCTGTGCACAGGAAGCCCCTCCGTGGGTGACGGGCAGACAAGCTGTGGTCCATCCACACACCAGGGGTCATTCAGCCAGCACAAGAAGGGAGTCACCACACCACGAGGAAACATGGAGGAGCCTGGGATGCACGCTGCTGAGAGCAGGAAGGCAGTCTGAAAAGGCTACACGCCATGATTCCAACTACACAACGTCCCTGAGAAGGCCCAATGCAGAGGCAGCGAAAGATCCTTGGTTGCTGGGGGCTCGGGGGGGGAGGGGGAGGGATGGGCAGGGGAGCCCAGGGCATCTTCAGGACAGTGGAACTATTCTGCAGGCCACTGTAATGGTGGACACAGGGCATCATGCATTTGTCCAAACCCACAGGACTAAACACCACGAAGAGTGAACCCCAATGTAAACTATGGACTCTGGTTAACAATAATGTATCAGTACTGACTCCCCAATTGTAACAACACAAAGTGTGACTCCTAAGGTAAACTATGGACTCTAGTTAATAATGATGTATCAATACTGATTCACCAATTGTAACAATATAAAGCCTGAACCCCAATGTAAACTATGGACTGTAATTAATACTGATGTATCAATACTGATTCCCAATTGTAACAATACTAAGAGCAAACCGGCGTGTAACCTTTAGAGAGTAACAATATACCAGTATCAGTTCATCAGAGTAACAGATGCACCAGGGAATACTAAATGCTAATAACAGGAGAAACGGTGCTGGCGGCATGGGTGGGAACTCTCTGTATTTTCCGCTCAATTTTTCTGTAAACCTAAAACTGCCCTAAAAAAATAAAATGTGTTAATAAAAATAAAACAACCTACGGATGAAGAACAAACACGCAGAAGCAACAGCCTGGAAGGGCTCTTGCAAAGAAGGCCTTTGAAGCGGGTGTCAGAGACCCAGTTTTCTCCGAGCACTTAGAAACCGTTTTCTGACACAGATCAGGGAGTGAAAAGAAACGTGAATCAAGTGGGATGTCTGGCCCTGCCGGCAGGTTACCCAGTACAAACCACAGAGTGACCGGCCCTGCCCTGCATCCTCACGCTCAGCCGGGCGACAGTGACGTACAGACGCTGACCAGGGACGCCCCAGAGGGAGGAAGCCTCCACCAGCGGCCGGGAACTAGAGCACCCCCTTAAGGGGCTGGAGGTTGGGGGGATCTTCCCAAGTCGAAGGTAGGCAGGTGGAAAACAAGAAAGGCGAAGTTCTCGCAGGCATTTTCGCAAACAATAATGAGGGTGACGTCCTGTGCTTGGGCACCGTCAGCACCGCTCCCGGGCGCGGGGTCCTTGGGAAGCACCCTGGGGTTTCCCCACAGCGGCCGCAACACCACAGTGCTCTTGCTCTCTGGCCCAGACAAGCACAAGAGCCCAGCAGGGCTTCCAGGATGGCGAGGAGTTTCTTTAAAACCTCAGCCCGTCACCCTCCCAGGGAGCTTGGGAGACACAGGTTCCCCTGCCCTTGGGAGGGATGGGGGGCTCCAGCCCAGGAACCTGTATTTCCCACCAGCCCCCCAGGATCCCAACGCCACAGATCCAAGGGCCACAGGCAAACACCGTGTGCTAGGACGAGGGGGGGCCACGGGACACCCTGGGGAGCAGCTAACGTGAGGACCAGACACCCCAGGAAGGGTCCTCCCCAACACGGGATCGGCTGACCACCGGCCCCACCCAGAGGCGTCCGGAGTAAAGGTTCAGAGCCACCTCAGGAACTGCACTCGGCCTGGGTTCAAATCCTGCCCGTCCACCCTTGATCCCAGAGACTGCAAGTGAATGATAACTCAGTGAGCCTCAGTTTCCCCATCTGTCAATGGGGATGATGAAGTCTGATGTGTGGGTCACCTCTGGAACAGAAACAGACCCAGCTGGTCTGCGGAAAATGACCACAGCTATAAAGTGTCCCGCTTTCATCTTGCATGTCTGGTGGTGGCGCAGGGTTACCTTGCCACCGCGGGTCCTCGGCCAGGATCTTCTCGATCATGGCCTGGCTGGCGAGGACCCCGGGCTGCAGATCCGGAAGGCTGTCCCCGCCACTGAGCTGGCCGTTCTGTAGGGCCTCCTGGGCCTGCAGCTCCCTGTAACCAACAACAAACGGTTACGGCTTTGCGACGGGCCGGGGCCTTTCGGGATGGCCAGAGACGTCATGGAAACAAATGGCTCAGCGTGACTCGGTTCTGTGCTTCACAGAGCCGCCCACGTGTCACCTGCGACGCTGCTCGTGCCTAGGGTCACAGCTGGCATCGTGCAAACCCTGTCGTGGACACTCCATGCCCAAACCCCAAATGCTCGGGCTGAGCTTTGCTCAGGGGGGACCCACTTCCCTACAATGACCTCCTCAGACGCCGCTCCCCATCCTGTCCCGCTGAGCTGCCCACGGGACATGAAAGGAAGAGGCTGAGTGGGGAGTGGACACTTAATGTTCTCCTCATCAGAGAGAAAGCCACAGCTCAGGGGACAAGAAACTGGAGCACTAGCTGCCGTGGAGTCAGTGTCGACTCCTAGAGACCCCGTGTGTGCAGAGGAGAACTGCTCCACGGCTTTTCAAGGCTGTGACCTTTCGGAAGCAGATCGCCAGGCCTTCCTTCCAAGGCACCTCTGAGTGGGTTTGAACGTCAGCCTTTCAGTTAGTAGCGGAGTGCTTAACTGCTGGCGCCCCCAGGGGCTCCTCAGAGGATAGTAAGGGAGCAATAATCACGGTCTCCTGGTCCAGGTGGCTCCTGAGAACGCCACAGGCGCCATGCTGATATTTTATGAGTATTCGCTCAGTCAGTCCCTACAAAGGCCCACCTTATAGGTGAGGAGCTAAAAAACTTGCCAACGTCACCTAGCCAGCAAACGGCACAGCTGGGCCTTGGACCCAGACCTTTCTGGCTCGAGTCTGTAACTGCCAGCATTTCTCTGTCCGGCACAGCTGGTGCCGGCGGGCCGGCTCCCCACCTGTCTGGCAGTCCGGCCGCCCGCCTGCCGGCACTCACGGCCGCCACACTCACCGGACGTCACACACGGGTGGCCGCAGGTCCAGGGGCCCGTGCGCAAAGGCGCAGTGCAGCCCGTTCTTGGCGCAGTGGCCCCGGGCATCCGTCTCGTGGATGCAGGTCCCCGTCTTGTAGTAGCGCAGGTGGTACTTGCGCTCCGTGTCCCCCGTCGTGCGGTGCAGGTACGGGCACCTGGGGAGCAGAGGGGACAGGCCCCGCCCAGTCCTCAAGGGCGAAGACACCCTCGGCTCCGACGCGCCCACGGCTCACGCGGCACCCGGTGAGCAGTGGTCTGCTCCTCTCACCCAGAAGCCCGCTGTGCCCAGGGGGTGAGCAGTGCCAGGCAGAGCCCAACTGGGCGCGACCCACAGCCACTGACCCCTCCACTAACCGCGGCCAAAGCGTGCGCACTGAACCTCCACCCAATCGTCCTTCACACGTTTTAAAATAAACTTCTGATGCCCACGTGCAGAGAGGCGGCGGCTCCCAGCGCGGTGAACGCACTGAACCCGCTGAGCTGTAAGCTCACCGTAACCTGGCTGATAGTACGTCATGCGAATTTCAGTGCAATTTACCAAAAAGTCTGTGTGGAAAAATGAAATTCACTCCCTAGACTCAGCGAAGTCATTTTTTCCTGGCAACAGCTATCAGATGAGGGGTCGGTGGCCTCTCCCTCCCAGCTGTTTCAGGGACCCCGTGAGGGGGCTGCAGGCTGGGGGACCCGGGGGCCCTGGACACCATTGGTGGGGATGCCGGCATGGAGGAACGAGGACGGGCAGCATAACAGGGCCGCTTGGCAAACCGGCATCACGGGCATCTCACCGGGCAGTGGCAGGGCCGCAGGGCCACGGAGGAGCCGAGGACAGGACCCGACGCGGCTCACGCCGCAGAAAGGAAACACCAGCAGGGATAGTCTGGGGCTCCGGCACACACGGATGTGGACACTGTGCCCGCCTGAAGCTGGTGGCCCCAGAAAAGCACCACAAACACAGGAGGAAGAAAGGCCTGCTCTACTTTTGAAAACCAGCCAGTGAAAGCCGTACGGAGCACAACGGTCTGATCTGTAACCGATCATGGGAACGGCACAGTCCAGGCAGTGTTTCGGCCGGCTGAACGCGGGGGTCGCTGAGAGTTGGGGCAACTCAACAGCAGCTAACCATGACGACCATACTCAGCACAGCCGAAGGCCGGACGTCTCCACCAACAGAGAAGTGGATACACAAACCGTGGTGCGGTCACCCAGCAGAACCCTCCGCAGCACTGACAACTACTGCTGCAGCCACCAGCGCGGTCGGAGCTCACGAGCACGCTGAGACACTCGACCCAAGAGCGCACACCCATGACTCCAGCGACGGGAGCTGCGGACACAGGCCACGCTGATGGAGGGTGTCAGAGGCGACGACAGTGAGTACTGGGGAGGGGGAGCTGGGGGAGCCATGGGGGGCTCCTGGGGGCTGGTGACATCCTCCATTTGTATTCACAGCTGGGTTCAGCCAAGCTGTACTTTGGATTTCTGCACCATATATTATTCCCCAGGGGCCTTGGCTAAACTCCCAGCTGCTAACCAAAAGGCTGGCGGTTCAAAGCCGCCAGGTATCTCCACGGGAGAAAGGCTTAGCAATCTGCCCCCGTGAAGATTACAGCCTTGGAAACCCTATGGGGCAGCTGTACGGTCACATGGGATCGCCAGGAGCCGGAATCGACGGGATCTAACAACACAGTTAGATAAGCACAGGTATAAATGTGTGCGCACAGAAGGTGTGAATACAGGTGTGGAGCTGTGTACGTGTGTATACGTATATGGATTCCCCAACAGCAATGTGCATGCCCTCCCCACCAGCGGCAGCCAGGGTCCTCGAAGGCACACGCGCTGAGAGCAAGAAGCCATCAAGCGCACCGGGTGGGGGCGCCAAGTGGGGGCGCCACGGTTGGAGTGCAAGAAATCAAAGCCCGCTTCTCTGACATGAAACCGCCTCAGGTGAGATCAGCTGCGAGTCAACGCCTCTCAGCTGTGCTCCAACTCAGCTGCACATGCAGCACTTCCTTGTGGACCTGACCGGAGCTGGGTCAGACCTCAAGTCCCGCGGACTGCCAGGCCTCCCCAAGACCTCAGACGCCAGCTGCCAGCGCCAAGGGCGGGGATTCCTCAGGGCCCCCTCACTCCTGACCTGCTGGCTACAAATGCAGGGGCACAGCTCACTCCCTGACATTTACGGGGCACTGGCCTTGCCCAGCATGGCGGGGTACCCGGACAAGCGGGGGCCTCACAGATTTGCCCCCGCCCTCCCAGAGGGTGGAGGCAGACCCTGAAAAGAACACCGGAGCTTCGAGAAAAGAGGAAACGTGAGAACTCAGGAAACAGATTCTCCAGCGTGGGGAGCCTGAGAAGTTCACATTCTGCCAGCAGGAACTCAGTCACCGTACACACAGCTGAAAACAATGTTGCCGAGTACAAGGCGAGTACAACGCTCCTCCATCGCCACCGCCACAAAGACGCCGAGCTTGTCAGCTACTTCACTCAGCAGCCGACGGACAGCCCGTCAGCACCATGGCCTGGAGGAGGTCAGCTTAGAACGGGGTGAGACTGTTACTAGACAAGCATTGCCAGTGGTCCCAGAACCTTCCAGAACCTCTAATAGAAAGCGCCTTTCCTCGAGGGGATGGATGTGACTTCCCCACCGGGTACCCGTGAATCTGGTAAATCACCGTCAGGAAACGTGAAGGAAGGAAGCCAAGAAGTCACCCCCCGACTCCTGCTCATTGCACTAAAGCAGTTCCCATCTTCAGACGCGCACACACTACTGTGAGCTCAGCCTGAGAACTCCACGAGACTCAGGGTCAGGGGTCCGGGCGCCAGAATACAGCGCACCTGCAGAACGCACTGCCCGGCTGTGGCCAGGTGGACACCCAACTCACCATCGCCAAAGGGAGGGTAAACTGTCAGGCGCCTTCTGAGGCCGCGTGTGTGCTGATGCTCCATGGAGGTGAACCCCCGTGAGCCCACCACCCCGCTGATGTCTGCTAAAGCTCTCTCAGGCTGGCTGCTTCTCCGCTGGCGGCGGGGCACCACTGCCATGGCAACCAGAGCGGCTGTGCAGGGGAGGGGGGCACTGGAGCACCAAGCGAGCTCTCACGTGGGGCATGTCACGTGGAATGGCATCTGGTTTGGTTTTCTTGGTTTACGTCTCCAGGAGAACTGGCAATTGTCCCCTCTGTGATGGGGAATTTGACGTGCCAGCCTGGCTCAGCTACGGGGCCAAGTGTTCTGGTCAAACGCTCCTGTAGATGTGGCCGTGAAGGTGTTTACATGTGACTGACGTTGAAATCAGCTGACTTTGAGGAAAGCCATTCACGTTCCATAACGTGGGTGGGCCTCATCCAATCAGTTGAAGGCCTTAAGAGCCAAGAGTGAAGTTTTCCCAGTAAGAAGGATTCCACCTCCAGACTGTAACACAAACAACCTGCTGGAGTTCTCAGCCTGCCTGGCCTATGGATTTTGGACTTGCCAGCCCCACAATCACCTAACCCATTTCCTTAAAATAAGTCTGTGTATATCACACACATACACATACATATGCACATTTATATATAACCAACTTAAAAAAAAAAAAGCCGTCATCAAGTCAATTCTGACTGTGTCAGAGCAGAACTGTGATTCACAGAGTTTTCAAAGGCTGATTTTGATTTTTTGGAAATAGATTGCCAGGCCTTTCTTCTAAGGCACCTCTGGGTGGACTGGAACAAACAACCTTTCAGTAAACCATTTGCAACACATATATACATATGTATGTTATCAGAACTCGATACATACACATATGTGTGTGTGCCTTATTAGTTCTGCTTCTCTGGAGAACCCCGACTAGTACATCTTCCCTCTGGCAACTCCCACCTGAGACAAAAGTGGACCCACCAAACTCAGTTAACTCAAGTACACGCCACAAGGGCTTATGAAGCTCATTCTAGAAGCCGCACATGGGGCCGGGAGTTCCCAGCCTGAAGCAGCCATCAGCACCCCTGCAGGGTCTGCTGAGCCGCGGGTGCAGGCCCGCCCCAGCGTTTCCAAGTCAGCCAGTCTGGGCTGGGGCCCAAGGACGCGCAGCACCAGCAAGCTCCCAGGTGAGGCTGATGCTGCTGGTCGCAGACGGCACTCTGCAACCCGCTCAGCTTAGCGACACTCCAGGATAACACAGCCCCCTCCCACTCTCCAAGGAACATACGCCTGGGTGGGGGAGACCAGAACACAGCACGCAGAATAACTGAGGGGCAGGCAGACAGGACGCGGCAGATCGTGTGCTGCGGACCACCAGGGGTGGGCAGATGGAGCCTGGGGGAGGAATTCAAGGGTGCTGTGCCACGTCTGCCTCCCACTTTGCAACACTGTGTTAGCCAAGCCCACAAGCTCAGCTGCGCCCACCGGCTCCAGCTTTCCAGGGCTGCCCTGGTCAGGATGGTAACTCTTTGTTACTCTCATACTCAACTGCTCCGGCAAACAAAGCTGCCACCGTCTCCCGCAGACTGCTCTCTGCAGACGCGTGGTCTCCAGCACTGGGGCCAAAGCCCCCGTCCCAGCCACCCCCTCCCCTCCCTCATCACATCACCCAAGGCAGGAGGCGCTACAGGACTTTGGTCCTTTAGCGGCTCAACAATTTAAGACTCACGTCTGCTTTTTACATTTTCCTCTGTGTGTCGAACTGACACTGACTGGATAACCTGTCACTTCCGTTAAAGTAGTAACGGGTTCTCACAAAGCTTGTGTCTTCGTGTAGGATGCAAGCAATCCTGTGGCACCTAACCGTATGCTCTAACGCTCAGCATCTGCCCCGGGCCTCCACCTCGGCCTGCCCCGGGCCTCCACCTCGGCCTGCCCCGGGCCTCCACCACGGCCTGCCCCGGGCC